AACACTAATTTTAGGAAACCAGTGTTGCTCTGCTACAAAATCCAATGGGCATATGTTCATCATTAACTTAGATTCAATACCCCCCATAAGGAGCAGCAAACAAAATCCAACAACATACAGAAGAACTGTACACCAGGTAGGCAAAGATGGTTGTGCATTAGAAAAGCAGCCAATGCAATCCAACACTTCACAAACGATTTTATGATCCTACTTCATTGTTTTGATACCCACTCACATTCTTCCCAAGGGAACTCTAAGGATGTTCCTCGAAATCTCTGTGAAAAGATGGTTGTCATTTGGAATTTGTGAGGTTCTTAGCACGTTCTAAGTATTGCCTGATGTTTCTAAGCTGTATTTTACAGTCTTTACCATCTTTACTTTTCAAATAAAGAAACCAACAGAGAAAGGAGATGACTTGCTCAAGATCAAATACCTATTAGTAAAGGAGAGGGTGTCTAACCCCATCCCTAATATTTATCACTTCTCCTAGTGACTAGGAGCAGGCTTCCTAGATTCTGCTCACAGAAATGTAGAGTTAAAGGAGACCAGCTCCCTCACACTGTCAATTGCAGGCAGAGAATTCTTATTCCTCCCTTCCTGGGATCCCATGCCAATGTTCCAGTGAACAACAAATGCCTTTTGCAAATTACAGTAAAGAGGAATTCTAAATGTTAAAGGGCAAAGCTCATTTTTTTTCTTAGCCTATCAAATATTTTTTTCAACATTGTGCAAAAATAAATTGAAAATGGAGAGAATAAAAAGCAAACAAAATAATTCACCCATCCAGAATTCCAAAAACCAAGCCAGTGGTGTTTTTTTCCCATGTCTTGTGTTTGTTTACCCAGGTAAGTTTTAATTATTTGCATGGTCATACAATATATCTGAGTTGAGCACTTACTATAAACTAAGAAATTTCTGAAGTTTTGGAATATATTGAAAGGGATAGTAGACAGGCTCTGTTCTAATGACACAGGTAATTACATGTCAAATTTTATTATTAGATCATCAGTCTTTCTGCTTTCTGACCTACGTATATTTGAAGCCATCAAAATCATTTAAAGGTAGCCCAGTTGTCATCAGAGAGACTTTGTCCAGCAACTGATATGAGTAGATGCAGAGACAACAGTCAAACACTAGGCTCAGTCTGAGGGTACCCTGAAGAAGAGTGGGAGAAAGGATTCCAGGAGCCAGAGGGGTCAAGGATACCACAAGAACATGACTCACAGAATCAATTAAACAGGGATCATAGGGACCCACAGAGACTGAAATGATCAGCATGGACCATGTATGGGTCCTTCTTCTCCTCCTCCTCCTCCTCCTTCTTCTTCCTCTTCTTCTTCTTCCTCCTTCTCCCCCTTCCTTCTCATCTTCTTCATCCTCCTACTCCTAACTCTTCTTTTTTATTGAAGGGAAATGGAGGAGATGTGGATCTATGGGAGAGGGGATGTGGGTGGGAGGGTACTAGGAGGAGTGGAGGTAGGGGAAACTCTGGTTGGAATAGAATGTATGTAAAGAATAAAAATAAAAATAAAAATAAGCCAAATAAGTCTTACAAAATAGTTCAGCTGGTAAACAGGCTTGCTGCTTAAGCCCAATAATCTGAGTTTGATCCCCAGAATCCATATAAAGATAGTAAGAGAGAACAGACTCCTCAAAGTTGTCCTCTGACCTCTACATACATTTTCATCATATTAGGCCTCACATACTTATGCCCAGTTATATGTGTACACACACTACTATAGTAAAATAAAACAACAATATAAAATCATATACCATTTAAGGGCTGGGTGTATAGCCCAGTGGTGGAATACTTGCTCAGCAAGTTCTAGGGGTGATGTTAATCTTAAGAGCCATAAAAATTAGACATACCATTTAACATATATGTTGCAATTGCTTTCAATTATTAGTTAAAATATCTACTTTGTTTCAGGTTACCTCTTTTCCTTAAACTTTAAGAAATAGAGCCGTGGGTCTAGAAGATATTAAACATATCATTTCTGAAATACCTGACTATACCTCATACAGTTCACATGAAGATAACTCAATGGTGTCACCTGTGTAACAACTATGTGTATTATTGTCATTTTTAAAAGCCTTTGAAAATTGGTCTCTTCAAGAATAAGAAGAGAGTTTAGTATAGGCACGTGTATAAGACACCCAATGTCAACTCCTTTTATTAGCACTTACAAACTATTTCTTAAAATCTAGGCATGACAGTTTGAGTGAGAAATGCCTGTCACAGACACTGTTATTTGAACACTCAGTCCTCAGTTGATAACACTGTTCCAGCACTTTGAAGGGGTGCAGCCTTGTTGAATAAAGAATGTCATCAGAAGTCAGCCTTGGGTTTAAAGCCTTAATCATTTCTAGCTCACTCTGCCTGCTTTGTGCTTGTGTTTGAAGACATGAACTCTCAGCTTCCTGCTTTGCCCTCCACCATTCATTCTTGTGCTTACTACCCCATACCCTCACAGTGAAGGATGAACTCTTATCCCTCTGGAACTGAAAGTGTAAGTAAACTCTCCCTTAAGTTGCCTCGGTCGTGTTGTTTTATCACACACAACAGAAAAGAAACATATAAACTATATTATATTATAGCAGACATCATGGGTTTTAATCAAAAGACAATAAATATAAACATACTCTACTAAGACTAAATTCAGTTTTAGAGTATGAGGCATAGAGAGATCCAACTGCTTATGTAGTAGGTCATTTTCTATTTGTCCTATGTGATGTGCTGAAAATATGAACTGAACCGTTTATGCTGTTTCACCTTCTGCATGCCTCAGGGGAGGTGTAAACACGAGGACCTTCCAGCCCCATTAGTTAACCCGAATATTTTTTGTGCTGCTATGTTGTACACACTCTGATCTATAGCCTATGCTTTGTCCTAAAGATTGCATTTTCTGTGCTTTAATTTTCTTAAGTGACATTATAGTATAAGATAGTATAGTGATCCCAATGCTGAAGATATTTGGAAAGAAACTTGTTAAAGAAGAAAATGGAATGAATATGATGGGTTTCCATGACACTATATTTATTTATTTATTTATTTATTTATTTATTATTTATCTATCTGTATATCTATCTATTTAATTATTTATTTAATTATTTAATTATTTATTTATTTATTTATTTATTTATTTATTTATTTATTTATTTATTTATTTATTTATTTATTTATTTTGTGTTTTTGAGATAGGGTTTCTCTGTGAAACAGCTCTGGCTGTCCAGTATACACATGATATCCAAGGTTAAGTGGATTGAAAATTGTTTTTGTTAGTTATATGTCCTTGACTTTTTTGTTTTTCAATTAATATTTTGTCATAATTATGTAATTACTTGAAATTTGGGATTAGAGTAGACTTCAAAATGTTTTCCACATTAATAGTATGAGATCTGCATAAATATATAATAACATATGTAACAGATTTTTTTATATTATTTGTATTTTATTATTCAGAATATGCTTCTGTTTACACCTTATATTTATCCATGAAGCCTGACTGTTATCTGTAAAACTTTAGCTGTTTTTGAGGTGCTGGGTTTGTATCTAGGACTTCCTATGTTCGAAGCAGCTGCTCTAACATTGAGCTGCACCTGTGACCTCTCTGTGACAAATTTAAAGATTTATTCGTTTTCATTTCATATGAGTGTTTTTGGATGCATGCAAGTATACATTTATGTGTATCACATATGTATCTGTTGCCTTTGGAGGCTAAAGGGACCCATTAGATTTCTTGAAATTAAAGTTACAAATGGTTGTGAGCTGCTGTGTCAATGATGGATACTAAAACTGGATCTTTTTCATAATAATTGAATCATCTTTCTAGGCCCCTGTAATAATCGTAAAGTGAAGTTCAAGTACACAGCATATATGTGATTCTAATAAATGACCATGCAAAGAGCATGGATTCATAATATATAACAGAAAATTAAAAATATTATATATGGACAGATTTCTAGCTGGTACTCCCAAGCACCTGTGCTTTCTACCTATAGCATCTGTCTAAATGATTAAAACAACACAGCAAGATTCAGAGCCACTTATGGCAAGGACAGTCTTAGGGATAGAGCCTGTGGTTGCCACAGTCTTATGCTTCAGGGTGAGGAGACCCAAGTCCTGACTCTGGTCTAATCCCTATGAGCTGGTAAGTGATTTGAACTTCTTCTCCAAGCTGCATTTGTAAAATGAAAGATAAACAACATGCACAACACAAGTCGTCCTGGAAACTATGAGGTTATGAGAAGCCACTTATATTAGCAGCTTGACAGATGGTGGAGGGAGAGTTTAGTGGAAAGAAGTACATGGATAACATTTACTAGCTCACAATCAACACCATTCAAGCCAATGAAAAACAGAAATTAGATTCCTTCCCATGTGTGGGGGCTGTGCTATGAAATGTACTTGTTATTAGAGACTTCATTTAAATCATACACACACACACACACACACACACACACACACACACACACACACATTTTTTTTTTCATGGAGACAGATGCTCTACAATGAGAGAGTATGTCTTCTGCCTTTCATGGAGTCATTAAATTAGTGTAAGCTGGATAAATGTTGGAAGCACCACTCACAGGGCACATGGATGTAGCCTTCATGGATGTATTGGGCTTAGTGTTATCTGTCCTTGTCATCATGTGTCTGAAGAAATGTTACTTGATAGCTCTCTAATCAACTCTACCGTGTGCCTGGCACACTCACTGTGCTTTCATCTGGAAAGAAACACAAAACCTTTCTAAAGGAGTGGGTTCCAGAGTACAGAACAACTGTAGGCAATAGAGAGGAGAGTCTGAAACATGGCAACCAAGACATTTTGTAATGTTCTTTTGTTATGGTAAAACCGTGACAATATTCCAAACTAGAGTGATTTGTTTTCTGGGATAAGTTTGTTTTTCTTGCCTGCATCCTTGGTTTTTTTTGTCAATACAAGCTAGTCATATGGGAAGAGGGAACCTTTACTGACAAAATGTATATATAAGTTTAGCCTATAGCAAGTTTGTGGTGAAGGAGGGCCTCTGAGAATGTCTTTGAGGGATTATTTTTATTATGTTAATTGATGTAGAGAGACTAGCCCACTATGGGTAATATTATTTAAAGGAGAAAGCAAGCTGAGCAATACTATGCAAATGCAATGATCTCTGCTCTTGACTATGGATGTAATGTGATCAGTTCTCTTTGAGTCCTGCCTCTATGACTTCCCTATTGTGATGGACTGTAACTTGGAACCATCAGCCAAATAAAGCCCTTCCTCCTTGAAGTAGCTTTTGTCAGGGTATTTAACCACAGCAACAGAAAACAAAGGGACAACAGCTTTATTCTAGCTGTGTAAGGCTTGTTGGTATAGGACTCACATTTACTCTCATTCTTACCCTCTTATGACTTTCCTAAGATATTGGACCAAGTCTGACTTCAAATCAGTTAGTATCAGAAAAAATGTGCAGTCAGGAAGGGGAAGAATCAAGCTCTGCTGCCTTATGGGGCCTGGCAAACATGTGCATGCTTAGTTTTTGTTTCTGCCACTTAGGTGGGTAATTCTGAGCATCCGTACTGCCTGGTTAGGCTTTGTGATGGATTAGGCTGTCTCTCTCACTCTTTCTGAGACTCCCGGCAGCTCTGAGAACAAAGCTCTTGCACACAGGAGACCTTCAGTCACCTCACTTGACTGATGATTGTATCTGTGTCTGACAAGCAGGGGCTCCATTGTGCACAGCAAACAAATGGGCAGGGGCTCCATTGTGCACTGCAAATGAATGGGCAGTGTCTAAATGAAGAAAAATGTAAAGTCATTTGTTTGTTAGGACTCTTCCTGACATCACATAAATTACCTGAGTGGTAAAGTGAAAATAAAGGTTAGACTTAGTTAACTTTTATGGAGGCATAAGCTTTTTTTTAGCCAATATTTTCCTCTTTAGCTCTTAAGGATATTCCCAGGGACTATTTGGAATTGTTATGAATGCAGGATCTGGAGCCAGACTATTGGACTCATTCTTCATCCCAACTATATTGTCTGAAAGACTTCACCAAGAAATTCATTGGGGACTGAGTTCCCCATCTGAAAAATGAGTGATCGCATCTACAGAGTAAGTAAGTGATGAGGGCTAAACAAGCTAGCAGGTTGCATAGTGACAGGCTTGAAGAGTAGGTGGTTGAAACCTTGAGTGTTATTACTTATTACTGCTGACCATTGCTGCAGAAGAATCTGAGTTAGATGTGGAACACACTCTACTGCATAAACAACACAGACTCTCTGGGATGGAGACTTTTGTAGGATTAGGAACATTATGTGTGGCCCACCCATGTCTCCTCAGCCTGCTTCAGCATTACTTGGTGTACATTCTCAGAACTTGCAAAGACACTCAACAATACTTGCTGACATGGCAGTGTGACTCTGCCTTAGGGTGTTTTGTGGTGGTGTTGACATGAGTTCTGTGGAGATCATCACCAGGTCTCAACACACCCAAGCATGGAGCTACAGGGCAGTTCCGCTAGGGGCTTCCCCACTATACTTAGGTTGAAATAAACACTGTGAATCTCATGCAGGACACATCTCTGAGTGCCCAGCTTAACAAATTCATCACCACACTCTGTACAGGCCTCTTTCCTTTTCTGGCTTCACTGGTCATTTTCCTCACATGTATTCTGGGACCATCTCTCAGATACAGATCTCATATTCTGCTTTTTTGGGGAAATGTGGGTAAGGGCAGTGTGGATATCCTCTCCTTATACACAGATTCATTGATGTCCAGGAAAGTTTGATGGAGGCTGTGCGTTGACTTCTGATCTGTACCATAAATTCACAATGGCCATATTTTAGGGGCATCGAGGAAGGTTTTACCTTGTGTGTGTGTGGGGAGGGGGATTCAAAAAAAGCAGAAAAAAAAACACTATCTGCTAAAGGTGTATAGGTCTCTGAATGCCAAAAGTCAGGCTGAGTTAAGATAACGCATCTTGTCTACTAGTGACATTCTTAATATTAAGATAGTAAAATCTTTTCTGTTAGTCTGTGATCATGGTGGATCTGAAATATCTACCCAGAACAGCTTCCGATGAAATGTTTCCAGCTGGCTCAGGGTCCATCCATCTATGGGTCAAAGTCAATAGACTTCCTCCAGCAAGAGTTGATCACTGCCCCTTAATTGTCCCTGGAACTTACCAGTAATTAATGTTTGGCATTGACATTAATGTTCGAAAAAGCAAGATCACCAGCCAAAATATTCACTGGCTTAGTCCCCATGCTTCATTCTCTCCCCCTCCTTTTCAAAATTTCCTATTCCTCTCTCAGATGAAAAACACATGTCTTCTTGATACACTGGCTAACATAAAACTTTAATGCTGTGAGCAATTACCCAGTCAGTATCTTTCCCACTGCTCTAGAGCTGAGGGAGCAGAACCCACTGCTCAGCAGGGAAGACATCCACTAAAGAGGGGCAGAAACATATGGTCTTTCCACAGGTCAGTGATTCCCCAGATTTCTTTCTAGTTGGCATGGAAAAGACTAAGACTACAATTTCATGTTTACTCAAAATGATGCCAGCATGAAGTTTGGTGAGCTGGAGAAAGGAACATGCCCATGAGGGACATGCCCGTGAGGGACATGTAAGCACAACAGATAAGCAAGGGAGGCTAAGTTCTCATTTGCTTCAGCATGGACACTGGTATTTTTTTTTCACACCAGTGACATCATCTTTTCTGTCACCTGGGAAAGGGAAGGTGCATGGTGTCACGCCAAAGGCTGTGCTATTTACCATTAATCACCAAAATCCCTTTTATAAACTCATAGAAACTAATGTGTTCTAAGGAATTGCCATATGATTTTTACCTTTTAATTGGAAGACTTAGGCTTTGGTGGGAGTGAGGAGGGAAATTAGCGATCTCATGAGAAATGGCTGGAAGAAGGGATATGGAATTTTCAAATTAAGCTTCAAAAGGCTTAAATCTTACAAAAGAATAGATATTTTCTTTGTGTGGATCACAGCAAAGAGAGAAACAAACAAACAAAAGACCCCAAACAACACAGACATGCATTTCAGAAAGAAATCATGAAAATGAGACAGGGAGCATGCTAAAGCCATCCAGCTGGCAGAGTTCCTTCTTGAAGAAGTTACCTAACACAGATAATGAAATCTCTTCCCTCAAGCTACATACTTGTGTCTGCTTTATTGAAAATAATGATTTTTGGAAAGTAATTAATCACCATGTATACATCTTGGAAGCCATCTGGCATCAGAGTCAAAAGGAGAAGTTTTAGGAATACACAGAGCTGGCAAGGGCGGGAGACTGGTTGGTGCCTTCACAAACTCTGTCTGAAGAACATTTCCAGCATTCTGTTACTACTGTCCAGAGTAACAGGGAATTCTGAGGTTTAGGCAATTGTGCTGGAGGCAGCCAGACATCTTGTTCCTTTGAGCGGCAGAGGCAAGCAGATCCCAGGGGCTCTCCAGGTAGCTAGTTTAGCAGAATTCTAGAGCAACAGGTTCAATGAGAAACTCTGTCTCAGAAAAGAAGGTAGATGGTGACTGATAAACACAAGGGAGATTGACTTTTGGCCTCTATATGTACATACACACACACACACACACACACACACACACACACACACACACACACACACATCCATATGCACAGACATGCAGGCTTGTACATGCACATATAAATATGTGTGAAGAAAAATAGCAAGAGTAATCAGGTCTGTCAATCACACAAGCTAATGTCCTGAATATAATTTAAGTAATGATGGGTTGGGGGGTTAATCCCATTACATAAGTACATAGACTGAGGTAGTGAAGGATAACACAAGAGACAGATTTAGTAAGAAGCAAATTTACAGGCTCATACTGAACCAATTGCCTTACTTTATAGCCAAAGACTGAATAGTTGTCCTGTGGCCACTGCATATACCAGTTAGCATGGCTTTACTTCATTTCACTCTATCTTTCAGAAAGGATAGTAAGTTGGGAGAAGCAGATTTGACTGGAATGATCAATGATAATTTTTTCTTGTAAAATGGTGCCACTGAGTACCGTAGCTTCTGATATTTTTAAAAACAAATTTAGATACAAAGCAGAGGTCTGTAAAAGACAGCATTTCGATGCTAGTCCCTGAATCTTGATGACTCAAGTTATCAAAATGATCTCACACACTCTAGAGTGTAATAAGATGCTAGACATTGAAAGCTGTGAGGCGGCTGTGAAATCGTCCATCGTTTAGCTACAGAGCTGTCAGGTAATGACTACAAAGCAAGTCAGTTTAGCCTCTTGCTCAAATCTCTTTTCAGCACTGCTGCAATGGTCTTCATTTGTGTAACAATAACAGTGATGAGAGAGAGAAGGAACTGTTGGTCCTGCCCCTTCTGTCACACTTCTGACACCCTAATCAGGCACTGTTGATTGAATCCCAGACAACTGGCATTTACAGCCAAGATGATCTATACTGTTAATGGAAAAAAAGAATTAACTACCCAGAAATACACACACCAGTCACGTAACTGACGATTTACTAACTTCGATGCTGGCTTCTTACGTAAGCAGAAACGATTCAGGTCATTTCAAGAAGCCACTTAGTGCTCTAGCGCACAGGCATCAATGTGTTAAAGCTTATGTGGAGAGCCTGATTTCCAGTGGAAGGCATCACATTCCCAGCTAACACAGTGGCCCTCCTGTCTTATTCAGTCACCTTGAAGGCTCCATCACAGACTCACTACACACTCAATCAAGAGCACATTTGCTATCAATGAGGAATTTAGACTTTATAATTTCCCCATTGCATCCTTCTTGCTTCCTTGTTCTGACCTTGCTACTTCTTTCTAGCTGGCATCTCTGGGAAGGCTGTCGAGAGTGACTGAGAGTGTTCACCATGTGTAAATAGAAGAGTGCTAATTGAACAAGCCATATATAGTGTGTGTGAGGTTGGTCAGGCAGTTTTGCAAGCAAGTACTTTTTAAATACAATGCATATAGCTGGAAGATGCCCCCAAGGCCCTCCCCTATACCTATCTAT